ATAATATATAACACTTCTGAAACCGAGCTTTTCTATTCTAGCCCATTGCTGACGACATCACACACCACGTGTCAGCATTTGATCACGTGATGAAGAAAGGAGAAGAGCTCCTGGAAACTCGAGCACCGGGCAAGGAAAAGAAAGTTCTCCGAAAGAGATTGGACGATCTCGAAAAACGTTGGAATGACGTCAACACGCAATCAACCACACGTGAGACTCAAATCGAGAAGGTCCTGGGACTAGTAGACGATTACAACCACGTGAATAAGGAGTTTGTCACGTGGCTTAGTGATGCAGAGAAAAAAATGGAAACTACTCTCGAACCAACCCACGATCAAGATGCCGTGGAGAAACAACAAGAATTGCTCGAGGTAAGACCTGGGGGTGTGGGGGAAAGGGAGGAGACGAGGGGAGGCCGAACTCCTTTGGTGAGAAGGTTTGCCTGGGCACTATGGTCCAGCAGATGGTGTTCATCTGGGGCTGGTTGTTCAACCTTGGGTTAACCTAAAATTCAAAGCGAACTTGCCAACAGCTTGTTTATAAATTTGGAAATATTTCTTTGGAAATCTTGTCTGAATCAGTAGGAGTTTTCTTCTCTGGAGTTTTGGAATAAACAGACGTGTAGAAATATATAAACTACAACATCACGTTAAATTTGAAGCGAGGGTTAGCGCTAATCCAGCTTTGGACAACCGCCCCAGACAGAGTGAGACGATGATATTATTGAATGTAAATGATCAATTCATAGTTTTTACTAACTCTACGTTTTCCTTCATACAGGAACTTTATGAAAGTGTTGAACAGCACAAACCTGATCATGAAAAACTAAACCAAGTTGCGGAAGAACTTTTGAAAGTCGGTCAAAGTCTCAACATGAACGAAGACATCGAAATCTTGGAAAAAGAAATAGAGTCCACCAATCAGCGATGGATAAATTTTCAGCGTGATATTTCTGAGAAACTTCATGCCACCGACCAAGTTGAATACGAGATGGCAGACTTCAAAGAATGTGTGGATACACTTCAGAACGGCATACATGAAGTAATTGATTCAGTGAGAGATGTTGCTGTGTTGAACATGCCAGAGGGAGACGAGGTTAAAGTCAAAGATATTCACATCGTACCAAGAATGCCTAAGTCAGGAGAAGCCAATAAAGATGTCGACACTTTGCAGGTTAGCGGCCTTGTTTGCTCTGGTAGTGTACAATGTGTTTGCTTGCTCGCTTTAGGTGTTAAAAGCGCTGTCGTTCAACGTTTACTTAGTAAATGTAACCACTGTTTTTTATCCACAGAAAGCACTTGATAAGATGGACGACCAAGCACCTACCTTGGTGAAAATGAACGAACTCGGGGAATCCTTAGTGGAGAAAACCAACGCTCCTGAAGTGAAAACACAAATGACAAACACCAACGAAGACCATGACCAACTGCAGAAACGTCTTAACGATGCCAAGCGGACGTTGGACGAAATAATTGAACATTCTGATGAGTTTGACTTGAAGAAAGCACAAGTTGATAAGAAGTTACCAAAACTACAAGAGAAGGTGGAAGCATTGGAACCGATCAGTGCCCGACCAAATACGGTGAAGAAACAATTGCAGGAATCGGAGAATATTTCGAAAGAAGTTTGTGAAGTTGTTGAGGCCTTGGAGTCGGTTCAGGATGATCAAGATTGGTTGTTTGCAAACACTGAAGTTGAACCTGAGGTTAGTATTAATTTATTAATATATACTAAGCTCTGCTCAAACGAGAGTTGAGAAGCGAGAGTTTACATGAGAGTTTTCTCAACTTTCATGCCCCGATCAAACGAGAACAAGAGTTGCATGAGAGTTGACAGGATATTATGAACCAGCTCAAAGTTGATGGCGGCCGTCAAACGCGAGCAAAAGTTGTAACTCTTGTCAATTCTTATCCTCGTTTACCGAGGCTTTCATCTCATAATACAATACATGCATTCTATGTTTCTTTCTCTCGCACAGGTTAAAACGGAGATGGAAGAAACACTGCAACGGTTAAGAAAACCTGTTGACGAAGTACAAGCGGAAGTAAAGAAGAGAGAGAATGAACTACAAACCGTGTTAGTTTTAAGTCAGGAATTTGAGACGATATCTGCGGAGCTTGTCACTTGGTTAGCTGCGATTGAAGAAGAACAGACGAAGGAAAAGACTGTGTCGGCTGTCTACGAGACCGTGAAGAAACAACAGCAAGAACACAAGGTAGAGAAATTAACTTCAGTTTTCTTATACGTCAACAAAAGAAGGAAAGAAACGGTATCCCGGTGATTAGGATGATTCTTCCTCCCAATGTAAATAATGTCTTTGAATTCCTAAATATGTCGAGATATTGATCACAAAGTGGATAAGAATGTACTGCCACTGTGGGGGAACAAAACTGGTAGAGCAATCCAGAATTAATGAAAGTCAGTTAGATAATTCAGTGTGTAAATAATATCGTAACCTCAGACTATGGTATAACCTATTTTTGTTTTATTTTCACAGCCAACTCTGGAAGATATAAAGAAACACGAACCGCTGTATGAAAAAATAATGAAAGACGCCAAAGAAATCCTGGAAGACACAGAGGAGAGCCCAGAACGTGAATCTCTCGTGAAGGAAGTCAATGACATTGAAAACCGATGGAGTAACATCGTTGCACATGCGGAAACGAGAGATCACGAACTTGCACGAGTCCTGCCCGAAGCCAAGCGATGTCAAACGAAGGTGCAGAACCTGGAACCGAAACTCGCTGATCTCGAAAAGAAACTGGAGTCATTACCCGATATATCGGTCGATACGGACGCTCTGGAGAAACAGATGAAAGATGCTGACGTGCTACGAAAAGCGGTTGATGATCTTGCGACTTTGAATGACGAGATGACTGACAGTTGTAATACCTTAGTTGGAAATCCGCTGGCAGATCTTACTGTGGTCGCAGCTGAGGTTGAGAACCTGAAAGCACGTTACGGAGCAATCCTTGACAAATTATCAGACTGGCAAGCTAAAGTGAACACAGTAAACGAACAGGTCACACAATATAACGAAGTGAAGAAACCAGTTGAAGAAACAGTCCTCAATGTTGAAGAAAGTGTTCCTGTGCATGATTCACCAGTCACAGATGCTGAGTCAGCGAAATCAGAGCTGGAGACGGTCGAGAACTCTATAAAGGAACTGGATGCACTTCGTCCCGAGAAGACTAATGTTGTGAAGATTGGAAGTGGAATTTTGAAGGAGGTTGGCGAGGAGTCACCAAAGGTCGTTGTTTTGAAAGAAGGTTAGTGGTCCTTGCTATAGAAAGTATTATGTGACCCTGATTAGTAAAAATACCCTTCCAGTCCGCTGAAGACTACATGCCAAAGATTTAAAGAAAATTTATATTCTGTTAGATTTACACTGTCTATTGTTCTTTTCAAATTCAGTCCCCAGTGAATGCCATATTTACGTAGGTATAAGAACATACACTGCCCCAAAACTGAAAATGGTATTTCTTCCAAGTACTTTAAAATTGATTTAGCTACCAACATTTTAGTGAATTTGTAGTCAGGAGTTAATAAACAATCATCCCGAGTTTAAGATTTTAAGGTAAAATTCTTACGTCATTTAAGGTCTTGCTAATCTCGACAAACGCTTCACTAACGCACGAGAAAAAGCGGTGATGAGGAAAATCTTTTTGGAATCTCAGCTGAAACGCTTGGAAATCTACGAAGTCAATATCACTGAAGTTGAAATCTGGATCACCACGACACTCGTCATACTTGACAAACTGGAACCTGTTAGCACAAAACCGGAAAAACTTGCTGAACAACTTGAAGAGGCAAAGACACTACAAGATGAAACAGTCGAGAAGAAACAAGTTCTGGAGACCGCGCTGGAAGCTGGTCAGTGGCTGACTGAGAATACAAATGATGTCGAACAGAGGAATGCCATTGTGGGAAGGATGACAAAAACACGCGCGAACTTCGATCGTGTCGCGAAACGCGTGGATGATCGTTTTGATCGTCTACAGATTGCGGAGTTGAAATCCAAGGATGTTCAGGTCGTGTTTGATGAGTTCAATGAACAATTGAGGAAATTGGAAGAAGAATTTGAAAGTCAGAGGCCTGTCTCTGCGGTGAGGTCAACATTGGATGAACAGAAACGAAACACAGATGTAAGTAAATATTATACTTAAAATTGAGCGATTATTCTACACCAAATATAAGCCTACAAAATATTATGAAGAATTATTTTCCCACTCTCAACAGTCGGCATAAAAATAGAGCCTAGTTTCAATCCCGTTTTAACAGTTGTTTTATCTTCACTTCCAGGCCATAGACGAGAATCTCTCTCAAGTTGAACCAGTCTTTGAAAAACTTGTCGATCTTGTGCAGTCTCTGTTAGACGCATCTGAACCGAGCGAAGACCGTGAGGTACTGGAACACAAACTTGATGACGTCAAAATACGTTGGTACTGTCTACGTGAGAAGGTGCCTGAGCGAGAAGAACAGATATTACATGTATTACCGCTGGCAAGAAAGTATGAGAATATTACTGAACCGTTTACAGCTTGGTTGGAGGAAACCGAGAGGCGAGTTGGAGAACTGGAACCGACATCACTGAATAAAGATGACGTCACCCGGAAGTCGGAAGAGATTAAAGCACTTCGTGATGACGTCATTGCTCATGAACCTGAACTTCGAAACATTGTGGATGTTGAAGGTGATTTGGCGAAGACGGCATCTGCTGATGAGTTTATAGTTGAAGCACAAGTGAAAGATTTGTCCGAGCGATATGAAAATTTACAGAAGGAGCTGGGGGAGAGAGTGCGCAAGCTGGACACGGTGCAGACGGCTTTGAAGGAATATGAGAATGGTTTGGAGGTTGTGGAGAGGATTCGTGATGAGGCATCAGAGTTGGCTGAGGCTAAAGTACTGTTGGCTTCTCCAGTTGAGGAATTGACTGATGAACTACGCGAGGTTAAGGTAAGGTGTATTGTTAAGTGGTTGTCGGTGATACAGTGCGTATGCCTTTCGCCCGTGTGACCATACAGGGCGTGACTTTTCCGTTATGCAGTTGTCTGATTGTTTAGCATGTGAGAACTGTGTCTCCAGTTTGACTGTTCCAAACACCCAACTTTTTCCAGATACTCTGCTTTCCTTCTGTAGTAAAACTGAACCAGTAAAGGATAACGTTACTGGACCCCTAGGAAGAACAGTTTAGAACTGATAGAGCTATCCAGTATAAATAAAGTTATTTTAATTTAGGTTTCCTCCTGTAGTTACACTAGATCAATAAGAGATGATCCTTACTGAACTTCTAGGGAGAACAGTTTAGAACTGATAGAGTTATGCAGTATAAATAAAGTTAGATTAATTTAGGTTTCCTCCTGTAGTAACACTAGATCATTAAGAGATGATCCTTACTGAACTTCTAGGGAGAACAGTTTAGAATTAACAGACCTATCCAGTGTAAAGAAAAGATTACTTAAACGACTTCTAAATATTTGTGTCCTTCTTGATAGGTCATGCTGAATGTGGTTGAACGAATTGAACCAAATATGAATGAAGTAACGAAGAAAGGAAATGCCTTGCTACAACTGGGAGAGTTTCCCGAGGAACCCAGTTTCCGAGAAGATATGTCAAACCTACCAAGAAGTGTGTCTGATGCCAAACGAAAGTTGGAAGAGAAACAAGAATTACTGGAAGCCGCCATTGAGAAGAACAAGGCATTTGATGATGTCGCCGAGCAACTAGAGAACTGGGTAGCAGCCACGGCTGTAGAACCTGTCTTTGCTGAGACCACAAAAATAACAAACCCTGTAGCTGTTGAGAAACGTTTACAACAACTTGAGGTAATTATATACACTGTTGTAGAGATGTGCTTTCGTGATCGGGATTGATTCTTTTCTAGATAGTCCAGTTTCTTCCTGTAATAAGACTGGAACAATTTGGAGATGATTCCTACTGGACCTCTAGGGACAACAGTTCAGGACTGATAGAGCTATTCAGTATACAGATATTTACCGAATAAAAAATTCAAGTGAAACAACTGGTGTAACTATATTTTTATCAAACTATCCTCTTCATTTAGTAATTTTATTTTTTCTCTTGCAGAAACTTCGCGACGAAACAACAGATCGTAAAAAAGACTTAGAACAACTGGAAACTCTCGGGCAGTGGCTGAGTGACCACGCAGCAGATGAACCAAGCGTGATAGCGAACGTTGAGATGCAGAAAGCAAAACTTGCCAAACAGTTGGACGAACAACAACAAAAGATTGATGAGAAATACATGGAACTACAAGACGTTCTCATGCACGGCCAAGCGTTTGACGCGAACTGCGAAGACCTAGCGACAAAACTTGGGGATCTTGAAAGCAAACTTGCAACTCTCCGGCCTGTCTCGGCAGTTCACGACACGGTGAAGATCCAAGAGATTGATGGGAAAAGTTTGAAGGAAGATCTGGAGAAATATGAACCTGTGTATAAGAATGTTGTTGAAGAAGGCGAGCAATTGGTGGAGGATATGGAATCTGGAGACGAAAAGGACGCACTTGTTGAGAAGTTGTCAGATTTGAAGACAAGGTGAGAAAATTAACTTCGTTGGTGAGTATTACTGAAGGAGTACTCGAAGATAACTGTGTTTGGTGAAATCAAATCACTTTTTCACCTGCAACCTTATAATCAGACTATTGCAGGAATCAAACCCCGATGGCAATGCACTAACCATTGTACCACCATCAGCTCACCAAATGCTACAGTATTAGATTGTACCTTTGCTGAATTGAAATCAGGAACTTACCAATGATTTGCATTGTTTTAGATGGACCGAAGTTAAAACAAAGAGCGACGATTATGAAAAAGATGTTGGAAAGACCTTGCCCTTGGCTCAGAAATACGACGAAGTAATGTCGCCCTTCATTGATTGGCTATCAGCGACTGAAACGAAACTAGACTTGATGGAAGGAACTGTTTTGAAACAAGAAAACATCCAGGAGGCTCTGAAAGAACTGGGAACGATTCAAGATGATGTCAGCACGCGAGCCCGCGATTACGAAACGATTCAACAATGCGGTGAAGTACTTCTCAATACAGCTCAGGAAGATAAGAAAGTTGTGGACGCGGAACTTGGAAATACAGACAAACGTTGGGCAGCGTTGCGGAAAAACATCCAAAGTGCGGCAGATCGGCTTGAGAAGCAACAGAAAGTACTTGAAGATTTCGAGGAGGGAGTGAATATCATGGATGAAGTGTTTACTCCATGCGAGGCTGTCCTTGCAGAAAGAAAGCCGTATGGCTTGAGTGATGAAGTCGCCAAACGAGAGATCGTCAAAATTGACGAGCTGCTTGCTACGATCGAAGAACGACGACCTGTAGCCGATAAGATTCCGAAACTGTACGAAGATTTGACGAAAGATGCCGAGGAAACTGATCCTGAAGCTGTCGCGATGAAGGAGAACGTGAATGATATTTACACGAAGAATCAAGAGGTTCCAGAAAAATTGAAATCAATGAAAGAAAAATTGGAGAATGAAGCAGGACATCTTGCAACTTTCAATGAACTTATCAGGTAAGGAAAGTGTGGCATAACACGTTATAAATTCACAGAAACAAGATAAAATAATAGACATGTATTTGGTTTGAAAGCTTCGGATTGATAGGGATACAACTACCTGAAAAATACAATTTCACTAATCTTATATGCTCTACCATTCCAGGAAACTCGAATCTACAGTACCCACACAAGCAGAGAAATTTGAGAAGCAAGCTCCAGTAAGCACAAAACCTGACGTCATCAAAGAGCAAATGCGTGAAAACGAGGCTATTGCCAACGAGGTAGAACAATGCCGTAATGATGTGCAAGACTTGGAGGACTGTGGAAAATGGCTTGTCGAGAACCTTCCGAGTGATCCCGGAGTTATCCGAGAAGTTCACGAGCGTATTGCGAAAGCACGAGAACCAGTGGACAAATTGTCTGCGAAAGTAAGTCAGCGTCAAAATCAACTGGAAACCGCTGCACTTCAAGCACAACAGTTCGCGGACTACTTTGAAGAATTTAGCCTGAAAATTGCGAGTGTTGAAGACGAATTAGCAAGCTTGCTGCCCGTTTCTGGGGTGTACCTGACTTGTTCTGATCAGTTTGAGGAAGTTGAACGACTGGAGAGAGTTATCAGTCAACAAGAAGCGATAGTCGAGAAAGTCAAGATGGTTGGTCAGAAAGTGCTGGATAACCTTCCTGAAGGCCCTGATAAAAAAGAAATGGCGGGGAAATTATCTGATCTTGAGAAGCGCTGGGATGATCTGAACAGCAAAGTGACGGAACGAAAGACATTAGTAGAAAGTGTTCTACCAGTTTCTAAAGACTTAGACAAAGAATCAAACAATTTATCGGAATGGTTGACAAACACTGAACACCGCGTAGAAGACTTCACCTTGGAGTCATTGGACATTGATAGCATCGAACAAAAACTAAAATCATTTAAAGATATTGTGAATGAAATTCGAGCGAAGAAAGCCGTGCTTGAGAACCTTGAGGAAAAGTGTAAAAACCTAACCGATATTTGCGAGGCAGATGAGGAAATTCTTGAATCACAAATGGCTGGGCAGAGGAAACGTTACGAAGCGCTCAGGACGGCAGCCAAGGAGAAACAGGACAGCCTATCTGAAGTCAAAGATCTTGTTGAAGAATTGAATAATTGTGCGAAGTCGCTTGATGGTGTTTTGGATGAAACTGAAGCGACTCTCAAAGCAGAACGTTGCGTTGGAATCGACCGACATGAAGTGTTATCTTTCCTTGAAAGTATCGAAAGATTGATGGAACAAGTTGCAGATAGCGAAGAAGACCTCGAGAAAATGAGATCATTTAGTTCAACTATACTAACCCACGTAGACAAGAATTCACCTTCGGCTCAAATGCTTGGAACGCGATTGAAAAACGCCATGGAACGGTACTATATCGACAAAGACGAACTTGTGGAGTACTTTATAACGAAACAAAACGACGTCCTTACTGTAGTGAAGCTGTGGATGATTTATGAGACCGTTGAAGATGGATTACCGACTTTGGTTGACGAGGTGGAAACACTCTTGCCTGTTAGCGCTAAACCAAGTGTGATTGCCGTGCAACTACAAGAAACTGAATCACTTCTTGAAGATGCTGAAAGATATAAAGAAAAAATTGAGGCCGTCGAAGATTTTGCGGAGGACGTACAGAATATCAACAACAACAATCCTGAAGTGGTGAAATTTGTTCAGGATAAGATCTCGGACGTGAGAATTCCGTTAGACAAAGCTACTCGCAAACTAGAGGACCGTCTTAAAAAGCTTCAAGCTGCTTCTATAAAGGGCAAAGACTACGAAGATCTAATGCAACAGTTGCAAGACAAGTTGTCCACTTTGGAAGTTGGTGTGACGACCACACAGCCAATATCAGGCGTGTACGAAACAACGAAAGAACAAAAAGACGATGCTGATCGAGTTGCGAACTCTCTGAAACAACAAGAACCTGTATATGAGAAAATCATGGAAATTGGGCAGGCACTTCTGGGATCATCTCCAGAGGAAACGGATATTCAACCTTTGAAGGAAGAGCTGAATGAATTGACATCTAAATGGCAGGATGTAACGAACAAGGCTAACACTCGTGGAGAGAGTTTGAACAACGCGTTGCCGTTGGCTAAGAGTTACAGCACAGCGCAAGATGATTTTGGAAATTGGTTGAGTGAAGCTGAACGAAAGCTTGAAAGTACAGACGAGATGCCTTTGGATGTGGAGAACATAGAGAAAGTACAGCAACGTCTCACAGAGATCGCCGAAGATGTTCAAGCCCACGAAGGAGTGTATGACGAATACGTTGCCATGACAGCAAAGGTGGTTGATGTGTGTGAGGATGTCGTTGTCATAGAAACAGAAGCGAAGGCTGTAGAGCGACGATGGAATGAGCTGAAGGGTAAAGTGGAAGTGAAGAAAGCTGATGCAGAGAGAGTGAAGGAAATTTTGACGAAACATCATCAAGCTTTGGAGAATATAGAGAGCGTGAATGACAAGATGGCGGATATTGTGAACTCTAAAGATTTGTATAAACTGGATGGTGATAAATTGAAGGAAACACTGGAGAAAGCAAAGGTATGAAATGCAATTATTTGGCGGGGGGTATATGATAGGCGTGGCACCCTTACTCCACGAAAGTTAGGTATATGTTTAACATGGATTTTTCGATTTTCCATGCAAATGCCCTAAATTAATGATGTGACAATATCTTTTGTGGATAATGTGGCGCCAGGGAAGGTTTGGGATTGCATTAAGTTTAGGTTAGGTATAGGGTTCGTATTTGGTAAGAATCAGTGGTTATGGTTGGAAGTAAAATAAGAGAATAGTTTAATGAAAACCGCATTTATATTGTCGTTGTTAATATTGAAATTGACTAATTTCTTGTACAGGAGACGTTAGCCGAAGCAAAGAAACACGAACCCGTGGCAGAAGAGCTCACAAATACAAGCGAGGAACTTCAAAAAGAGCTGGAGACGCGACCCGAAGCAGAACGCCTTGCTAGCGAAACAACAGACGCCACTGACGGTTTTGCCAAATCTCAGACAGATCTTGCTGATCTTATCAAACGTCTTGAAGAATATAGCGATGTTGCTGAGAAGTTCACGAAATCTTACGATGGTCTTGCCGAGTGGCTGCCGACTGTTCAACAGCAAGCTTTGGAACTGAAACCAATCAGTACCCAGCCCGATGTTGTTGAAGAACAGATACACGAAACTGAGGTTAGTGTCCGAGCTGTAAACATGACGATAATTACAATAACATTGATCTAATCCCGATCTGTATTGAACTGCATCTGATGTTGATGGGAAATTCTGTCTGTGGAAACCCGAGTGTAATATCTACAGGTAACCCCAGCTGTTGATTGACCAAATGCTCAGCCAGTCAATAGTCGACTGGTACCTGTTATCGAAAGTATATCGCGATATTTTTAAATGCCAATTTAAATAAGACATCAGTTGGATTACATTGGCATTTTATAATGTTTGAAGCAAGTGAATGATTTTGTCTTAAAACGATCGTCCGAAATAATTTTGAAATTTCGTAGACTTTGTTACATTGATTTAACTTTAATCCTAAACAGCCATACTGACTTTATTCGAGAGTTCAATGCACATCAACTATTGCAAGAGTGAACTTAATTGACTTCAGTAGATGCAACTTGGTTTAAATTGGAAAGCTATTAACCTCCAATCAACTTGTTTTTTATAAGTTATCCACAAGACAAGGGTTTGAAGGTTTATTATTTCGACATGCTATGTAAAACAGTTTATATTTTGATATGACGTGACACACCTTTTTTTGTAAATCAAATTTAAAATAATATTACACGAAATTAAAACTACTGAAAATGCACCGAAATTCGACGATATTAACGTAGATGTATTCAAGGGTGAATTGATTTGTTCGTTAAATGTTAAAATGATGCGTTGTTTACGATATGTCGTATGCTACCTGCTCAAATCGCTCCACGAAAGACACTAAGGAAAGACGACATGTTGTCTTAAGGGAATTTCATTGCCATTTGCAAAGAGCACTTCATAAAAAGGTAAAAGCCGCCTAAGTTGAAATTCAAGCCTAGTATTTAATTACGCGTATACCTAAGGTCTATGTAATATTGTGTAACCGAAGGCATTTGTGTGCTAAGTGAAGCGAAGTTGACTGTGTTGACTGCAAACTATTGGCTATGTTGTTGTTTATTTATTTTGAAGTGGCAACATGGCGGCTATGGGATAAATAGAAAGTGACTCGTTTAAAATAATACTTTTTCAAACACAAAATAAATTGATTTCATTCTGTGAAGCAAAATATATTTTGTGTCATTCAGGCATGATCCCGTGATCCAAATGTTCCATTGTCTGTTTATTGTTTTGAAAATCTCACTGTTCTTCATGTCATCCAGTTATTATCTATTGTGCTAGGCTTTGAAAGATGAAGTGGAGAAGAAGCAAGCAGAATTAGACTCGCTTGAAAACTCTGGGCAATGGTTGATTGAACACAGTGACGATGACTCCAAGGTCGCTCCAGATATACATACTAAGATCAGTAATGTCCGCACTAACTTGGACAAACTGTTATCCAAGATCCAAGCGCGTCAGGCTCGCCTTGACAAGGTTTTGTTCGAGAGCCAGGAATTCAATGTCGCTTTTGAGACGTTCATGGAGAAGTTGGTCGCCATTGAAGAAGCTGTTGCTAAGCAACGTCCTGTCTCGGCTGTCTACGATACTGTGAAGGAACAAAGCAAAGATAACAAGGTATTGTAGAATAGAGCGAGGTATACTACACACGTCAAAATTTCACAACTTGTCAACAAGATGTGTTCGCAACAGGCTTGTAGCAAGCTTATCAACAAGTTGTAACAATGCTGTTATTTTATCAAGCTGTTACAAGGTTGTCACTGGATTGCAGGACGGTAACAAGTTGTTGGAACAACTTGTAACAAGTCTGTTGAGCTCAACATCCTTGTAGCAAGTTGTCAACAAGCCGTTAGAAACATCGTTAGTTTCGCTAAGATGTGATATTGTTGTCATTATAGGACGTCAAAGACACACTGGAGCAGTACAAACCAATGTTGGATAAACTCATGACAAATGGCAAAGACATTTTGGAAGCAGCTGAACCAGGCCCCGACCGCGAGAAGCTTGAACGCAAGCTATCAGACACAAACGAACGTTGGGAAACAGCTGTGGAAAAAACTCAAACACAAGAAACAAAACTTGACGAAATCCGGCCCGTTGCCAAAACATACCACTCTGCAAGTGTGAAGTTTGTGCCATGGTTAGAAACTACTGAGAAAACCGCAGCTCCTCTGCAGGACGTTACACGTGATCCACAAGCAGTTGCTAAGCAACAAGAATTAGTGACCAGGACTTTGAGAGAGATTCAAGAACACGCGCCTGAGTTCGAGGAGGTGACAGACGATGCTTCAGCCACACTGGATCTCGCGCAAGCTGACGAATACGTGCTCGAAGGGGAAGTACAGGACATTAAGAAACGCTGGGGTACATTGGTGGATCTGTTGAATACAAAGGAGGAACAACTTGGGAAATTAATGGATACAGCAGAGGTGTATGAGCATGCGCAGAAATCGTGTAAGAAGCCGTTTGAAGAAGTGAGCAAATTCCTCGAGGAGTGCAAGCCGTCAGGAGTTGACCGAGACCTGGCTGAGAAACAACGTGAAAATGCGAAGGAGAAATTGGCTTTGATGGAGCTGACTGAAGGAGATGTCAACAAGGTTTGTTATTGAAGCATTTGGTGGTATAGGGTTGTGGTTCGTACTTTTGATCGAGTACTCCAGTCTGAACTTGTTGTAACTTGTAGTAAAATTTTATGTTAAGGTTGATCGCTCAGGGAAGGATCTGGTTGAAATTCTTGGAAAGGACACCACGGATGGACAAGAAGTCGAGAAAGAGGTCGCGGAAACTGAGAAAACGTTCAAGGAATTAAAACAAAAGTTACAAGACGTGGTTGAGAAATGTGATGAAGAACTTGCTCAAGCCAACGTTTTCCTTGATGCCGTGTCTGAGCTAGGAGACTGGATCGATACCGCTGAAGATGCTCGCGTGCTTAGAGAACCTGTTGCCAGGCAACCAGAGAGTATTAGGAAACAACTGAACGAAATTGAGGTAATAAATTATTTAAGTAAAGTGTAGCCTGCTCGCAGCCCGAAATTTTGTTTGCTTCAAATTTTCGGGTGGGGACTACTGAGCAGGCTAGCTAAAGTGAGATAATGTATGATGTGGAATGGTGTGTGATATGATATGATGTAGTAAACTGGATTTTTGTTATTTTTCACAGAAACTCCAGGATGAAATTAAAGATAAGAAATTCATTGTAAAGAATGCAGAGGATGCTGGTCAATGGTTGATCGAGAACTCAGACCAGTCCCCCGAAGTCGTGCGTGAAGTTCATGAGAAACTCGCGAGTGTGTCCACGCCCCTCGAGACCTTGCAAGCGCGCGTGAATGAACGCGAAGTGAAGGTACAAAGTGCTTTGATGCAGACGGAAGAATTTGATGTGATTTTGAACGACTTTGACAACAGCATGAAGGAAATAGCTGCTGTGGCAACGAAAGGTATTTTTCTTCTCAAAGTTTCTCGAAGGTGGACAAACCAGGAAACAATGTTTTCCTAGCCAGAAAATATTGTTTCCACAACAAAAATGACATTTGGAAAACAAGTTTTTCAATTTGTTGAGAAGCTTATTTACTTCCTGAGAAACATTAAAGATGGTAGGAAATAAACTCAGAAGTTCCATCTTGAAACTTTGATATTTAAGTCGAGCAAGAGGACACAATATTGAACAGCGGTATTTCGAATTTATTGCAAATTCATTATCAGACTAATATACACGATGAATTTGTCTCGTATTTTATTTCATGAAGTCATCGGCTGGCAACGGAAACATTAACATTTTCGCAACATTCTTTGCAAGATTGAGCAAACGGGGAAAACAAAGAAACCGTCGATGAATGTGTTTAGTCTGCGTAGTACTTAACATTTGATTAATTATTTTAAATTCTTTTTTGAAGACGAACCAGTATCTGCCGTATACGATACAGTCAAAGACCAGAAAGTACAAGCAGAGAACTTGATGGATGATGTGGTACAACAGGGAGTACTCTTTGATAAGCTCAGCAAATCTGGCGAGAACGTCGTCAACAGCTTGGACGAAGGTGCGGACAAGGACGAGTTGGTTAAACGGTTGGATGAGTTGAACAATGAATGGCAAGAAGTGAAGAAACAGGCAGAGGAGAAGAAGACAAAGATTGAGAACGTCTACCCGCTGGCTGAGGACTACAAAACGAAGGTGGATGATTTTACACCCTGGTTGGAAAATGTTGAAAGGAAAGTTGGTGACATTGAACCGGGAACTGTAAGGAAAGCTGAAGCTGGTCAAGAACTTGAAAAATTGAAGGTTTGTATTTCCTACAGATTGGTCTGATAGCTACTAAAGACCTAGCTCGTCTGAACAGGTCCTGTGTTTGTGTTAGTGGTCCATTCCGATAGCCTTAATCCTAACAATTTTCAATATTTGCTTCAGGAACTCAAGGAAGATATACAAGCCCACAAACCTGAGCGTGATAGCTTGCTTGACTTGGCTAAAGAACTCACCACCGCAGCAGAAATAGATCAACCAGTCGTCGATAAAGAAGCCGAGCATTTGACGAAACGTTACGATGATCTAACGGTCGATATCGAAGACAAGGAAGGTCGATTAAGTCGAGTGATTGCCAAGTCAGAGAAATACCATGCAGCTCTGGCTCCTGTGGAAGAATTGTTTACGAAAGTTGAACAAGCTGTTAGCAAGAGTTCACCGTTTGGAGCGGATGTCGAGCAAGCCGAAGGAGAACTGGAAATAGTGAAGGTAAAATCAAATAAACATGAGTGATTTTCATGTTAGTACTAGCGACGTATTAAGGCAAGGATATGGATTTTGAAACCAGTCCTGAATAATGAAAAAGATGAGAAAACAGTCGAAGAAAATACTTTTAGTCTCTTTTGCCAGCTTACTGTTAACACTGGCCCGGCGCTTCAAAATATTATTCGATGTTGTTAAATTGTCAAGTTTTTAATTTCAGGCCATGGTCGAGGAGCTGAACAGCGCTCTCCCAGCTGTGGAGCAAGTCAACACTGACGCAGATGATCTCTTAAATGACATGCACGAGAAGTCGACAGAGCGAGCCGATGTTCACGAGAAGGCCCGAGTACTACCACAACGTTTTGCCGAGCTGAGTGCACGCATTGCGCAACGCCATGCCAAGGTTCAGGACGAGCTCCAGCATGGAGCCGCATTCAGGAAGGCCGTGAAAGATCTGGAGGACTGGATACCGGAAGTCAGTGACAAGGTTGAGGCCCAGAAGGGTGTGTCATCTAACCCGGATGTTGTTCAAGCCCAGCTTAAAGAAATGGAGGTAGGATGCTCATTCCCCCACATTGCTGAACTCGCATTGTTGTTGAAACACAACCTTAAGCCTGGCTTACATTGGCAAAGTTTCTGTGATCACAGTAGGAATTTTGCATCGGCAAATTCTAAGTTTTGAAGGATTTGTAGGAAATGTTTGAGGGCACAGACTCAGTGTTAAACAGTGTCTCATTTCCCTCAAACATTTCTTACAAAACCTTCAAAACTTAGAATTTACAATGCTAAATTCCTACTGTGATCACAGAGACTTTGATAGTGTACACCAGACTTGAGTTTAACTGTTTCGTATTAGTAGAAACAATGTACAGTACTTGAAGAAATGTAGCTGAAGTGTGACATTGTTTTATTTAAAACTTTTATTTTGCATCTCATTGTTTTAGGATATCAAGGCGAAAATGGAAGATAAACGTCCAACACTTCAAACGGCGACGGATGAATGCGATTGGTTAGTGAATGCTTGCAAAGATGAACCAATGAAAGGGCTGGAAACTCGCGCCAAACTCGAAGCAGTTAAGAAACCTTACGACGAGTTGTACGCTCGTGTGTGTAATCGATGTGGCAAACTGCAAAGCGCTCAGATGCGAAGCCAAGAATTTGATGTTTCCTTCAAAGATTTCCTGAACGGTTTGAAAGAATTGGAGGAGATTAGCGCTGAGATTGAACAACCTTCAGCTGTGCATGAGACGACGAAACAACAGAAACAGGCTTTAGAGGTACGAGACTATTGGTTTAGTTTTACACCATACAGAACAACAAATAATGGTGCTCAATTTTAGAACTGTTGTCACTTGCAGAAACAGGCAGCTTAAATTATATTTCTCAATTCTGATAAATGCCGGTTGACCACCATCTAATGCACGTTAGTTCTTCAATAGTGAACCGGAGGAAAATCTGTATTTCTCAATTGATTTATTTAGGCGCTGCAAGAGAAGATCCAACAACGCGAGCCAGTATATGATCAGTTAATGAAAACAAGCGAGCAGTTCCTAGAGACTACAGAGCCTGGGGACGAACGAGAAGAATTGAAGTCGAAAATTGATGATCTGACTAAACGATGGGAAACTGTGAAGGAGAAAACTACAGAGAACTTGGCTGCAATTGATGAGGTTTTACCGCTGGCCAAGGTGTTCAGAGAAACAACTGACGTTTTCACTGATTGGTTGAAATCTGCTGAACGTAAAGTGGAAACATTTGAAGCTTTGGTTGGCGAGCAAGCGTGCGTTGTAAGACAGAATGAAAGCGCAGCGCAGATAAACGATGAAATTCTGAGTCATAAACCAGAGTTCACTACGCTTGAGGATGCTGGGAAAGACGTCACGGGATTGGCTAAAAAGGACAATGACAAAGTCAAAGACGAGTTTAATGACGTGGCTGAACGTTGGGAGAAGTTGCAGGTTGATCTGAGTGAAATTACAGCGAGATTGAGTGCAGTGAATACCTTGCTTGGAGAGTTCAACAAGAGACTGGAACCTATTGTGGAAGTGATTGATAAATGTGAAGATAATCTGAAGTCTGTAGATCCCTTGGGAGTTGATGTGGACAAAAATAAAGTGGAAATTCAGAAAGTACAGGTACGATGTATGTTATTTGTGCAGTTCTGAAACGCAACAATTATAATAACTCATCTTTTAATATATATTTAGCTCACTCACTATAACTTGTTGTGTCCCTCCATACTTGCGTATTGCAGGAATTGAATTCCCATTCCAGAGTTGAAATGGAAATGCGCTAATAAGAAACTAAAATCAATGTTTATCTTTGTAGGATCTTCTAGCGGAAGTGAAAAATATCGAAACAGATATGGGAGACTTGGACGTTATTGGCGGGAACACGATTGCTAAGGTCGACTCCTTCAATGGCGACAGCAGTCCAGTGAATAAAACGCTAGAAGATACCAAGACTAGATACGGAGCGTTGACCGCTGACCTCGAGGAATTGGTGGAAAAACAGAAAGCGGACTCAGATAAAGCGAACGAGTTTGACGAGGAGATTATTGTGATTGAGAAATGGGTTATTATGATATTTGAGGTCGTAAAGAACTGGGACGATAAGGGCACTGGGACTGAACCTGATGAAATTAAGAAACAATTACGTGAGGCTGAGGTGAGAACTTACTTTGTTTTGGTATTTGTATTGACATATGACCGTTGACGTTGCTTTTTAGTCTTTTATATTTGAGAAATGATAATATATTTTTATTACCCAACCCTTGTTTTGTTTTTCATTACCCAACCTTTTACTCGCTCAACATTTTGTTTACCCAACCCTTTCCTCTTCGGTGCCACTCCTCGCCATAAATAATGACCGCTCCCTAATGAAACCCAGTTACAAACTGATAATGCTCAATGTTGTTTGTTATACAGAATGTGAAAGAGGATGTTGCCAAGCGTGACAAGGATGTAGAGTACGTGGAAAAACTGGGACAGAGTCTCGCAGAGAACAGCCATGATCCCGAAACGACGAGGAAAGTAAATGAAAAAATAAAGAAAGTGAAAGAACCGGTGAATGAGATCAGACTGAAAGTGAATGAACGTTGTGAAAACCTGGAGAGCGCTCTGACAGAGAGTCAAGGATTCCATGACAATCTTGACGAGTTCTTACGATGGTTAACGACGACGGAACGAACGCTGGCGAAGGAAGCTCCGATCTCTGGCAATCCTGAGGAGTGTACGACACAACAGAAAGATGTTCAGGTAAGGTTTTTTTGGCTTCTACACGAAAATTTTTTGGCTTGCACACGAAAATTGACTCAGTTTTTGAACGTTTTTAACCGTGGTATCATGGCAACGATATTTTTTTATGAATGAGTTTGAGAATTTTTTTATCGAATAAATCGTAACGAATCATTCTTATTTTGTAGGATCTTCACCAAGACATTCTTGACCATGAACCAGCTTACCAAGATATCCAAACCAAGTCCCATGAATTGAGCGAGAAAGCCGCTGGCCCAGACAAACAAGAGCTGGATGAAAAGATCACTGACATCAGCAAACGATGGGAAGGCATCATGGGTAAAGTGACGAAACGTCTGGCAATCTTGGAAGAAGTAGTTGTGTCTTCTGTGCAGTACACTGAGGCTTGGGAGCAAGTGAAACTTTCGCTTGACTCGATGGAAGAAAAGGTGAAGATCATCAAGGATGTTTCGTCCGATCCTGAAGTTATGAACAAACAAGATGACACTGCTAAGGTACGTTTTACTCTTCCTGTATTAAAACTGGACCTCTAGGAAGAACAGTTTAGAACTGATAGAACTATAAAGTTAGTTTAGTTTAGGTTTCCTCCTGTAGTAACAATGGATCAATAAGAGATGACCCTTACTGGACCTCTAGGTAGAACAATTTACAACTGGTAGAGCTATCCAGTGTAAATAAAGTTAGTTTAGTTTAGGTTTCCTCCTGTAGTAACACTGGATCAATAAGAGATGACCCTTACTGGACCTCTAGGTAGAACAGTTTACAACTGGTAGAGCTATCCAGTGTAAATAAAGTTAGTTTAGTTTAGGTTTCCTCCTGTAGTAACACTGCATCAATAAGAGATGACCCTTACTGGACCTCTAGGTAGAACATTTTAGAACTGATAGAGCTATCCAGTATAAATAAAGTTAGTTTAGTTTAGGTTTCCTCTTGTAGTAACACTTGATCAATGAGAGATATCCTTACTGGACCTCTAGGAAGAACAGTTTAGAACTGGTAGAGCTATCCAGTATAAATAAAGTTAGTTTAGTTTAGGTGAGTCACAAGGAACTTGTCTCTTATTTTTTATAAGAGACTTAATCACTTACAAAAGTCGTGACAATTTTTCTTTGACTACAGGCTCTTGAAAAGGAAAAAGTCGAATGCCAACCAGTTATTGAACAGCTAGTATCATCCAGCAAACCATTGGTTGAACACTGTCAAGCTGACGTGGGTTCCATTGAAAATGATGTCAGTGACGTACATGAACGATGGGATGCTATATGTAGTGTATTACATGAAGTACAGGACAAGATTCCTAAAATGAAAGAAGCTGTTCCAGTCTACGAGGAGAAGGTGAAGCCGCTAGAACAATGTCTCGTGGAAGCAAATAACGTTTTGGCTGAGGTGGAACCATTTGGACTTGATACAAACAAGGGAAATGAACAATTGAATAAACTAAAGGTTCGTCACATTTTATACATAAACTAGCCTTTGCTCCTGGAGGCCATGCATACTAGCCACTAAGCTACAAGTACTCCTATGCTTATATTTTTTACCATTCATAAACCTCTTATAGAATAGAAAATAAACATTGCAATTCTCTTTCTAGAATGCCCGAGAGGCCTTACAAGAAAAGGAAGACAATCTATTACCAACTGTCAACGACAAGGGAGACGAAATTTTAATCATTGATAACAATCCTGAAAATGTATCACGTGTCAACGATCGTTACTCTGATCTCAAAGATCGCACTTCAGACACACTGAGGAAACTGGATGATGCTCTTGGACACCTGGAGAAGAACCTGGACACGACACAGAAGTTTATCAATGGTAGAGATGAGTTGGAGACAGAACTTGGCGCCATCCGTGATAAGGTGGAAGCTTTGGGACCTGCAGCAAAGGACAGCGAGAAAATTAAAGAACATTTGACTGAGTTGGAAGTAAGTTCATGACTAGCTGTTGTTGTTGTTTTGTGTTGTGCTGTATTGTGTTGTGTTGTTTTCGTACTATTTAAAGCACGCGTACGAGTGTTTTATCACATATAAAACACGACGCGTAGCGGAGTGTTTTATATGTGATAAAACACGACTACAAGTGCTTTAAATGGTTTCAAAAACGACTCATCTTATACGAGTTTATTGGCGAAGTAATTTTTAAAATAAACTTTGTCTAAACCGAGAAAATCAAAGCTAAAGTTTATGTAAATTAACATGATTTTTTATCACATATAAAACCACGACACGCTTATGATTTTTCTTTGTGTTTTCCTCCTGAATTATTAATGAGTTTTTGAAATCTTGTTTAATCTGCTACTACAAGTTTTATCGCCACCAAAAATGTCCTCGCCCGGGTGCTGGCCCAAATCATAGTTTGTCAAGATATGATGGTCTGGAAACTCACGGACACGGTGATTGAGCTCGTTTTATTTTGGTATAATGCATGAAAGTATCATCCAATAGGGATAGCTGAGATGAAACGTGCAACCACGATAAGTTGAGGCAAAGGATTTGTGCACGGTGAGGCACAGTTCAATAAAGGCATTCTATTTTGTAGATTTGAAGTTTGCCAAGCTTCCAGGCTATCGTATCTTGACAGACTATGTCCGAATTTAGTTGTTAAAAAACGTCATCAATAATCATTTTGAGATTCAAGATGAACCGCATGTAAATTTGTTATCAAAGAACCAATCATGAACACACACACACTGTTTGCACATCTGCAAAATGTTTGCATTAAAACTTAGCAAAATATTTTTTCACATTAAATGATGAAGAGAAGAACTCGAGCAGTTTCCGACAAGTGATTAATGGAAACTTTAGAAGCGGTCAGGATAGCGCACGAAGGGAGGTGGGGGGGGGGGTGACTTTTAGAGATGTACGTTTGTTTTCCCGATCAATTGAATAGGAAAGCTCTCAGATCATGTACACGTGGCCGTATATCTAGATCTGTGGGATAAGAGCGAAAGGGAGATATAGCAGAAAATATGAAAAGGGTAGAAACCACAAATTTAAAAAAAGTAAAAGTCCGGAAAGACAGTGTTGACATTTCTGTCGCAATTGATATTCCGGGCGGAAAATGAAGGCACCTTAAGAATATGATAGCCCAGAAAACTATTTTAAAAAGAGCCATAAAAAATGTAAGATATAAAATTTATCCGAGCAAAAAGCATTTAACTCCCCCCTTGAAATAGGCACGTAACATGGTTTTCAACTGAAGCATTTTAAAAGCTAGTGATAAAATGTTTTTGCACAGATGGACTAACCCTTGATCTGCAGCATCTACTCTCAAAAACAACGGCTATAATAATTAATTCTACATATATTCGTTATTGCAATATGAATAGAAATTAAGCGCTGAAATAACAGTCATACACAAGTGTCAAATACAGCTGACATGCTTTTCCCTATTGTTCTTCAATTTTCCGAGTTATTCTAGACCTATTTTCAATGCATTCTGTTGCACACGAAATTGTAAAGGGGGGTGAGGCGGCAGAAATTTCTAGTTCTGCATCAATTCCGTAGGACAGCATGTCAGCAACAAATATGAAGGAGAGATAACAAACATCACATGGGCTCTCTCATAACTACTGTTTTATGGAGTTTACGGGGACGTAGAAGACCAAGAAATGCAAGACAGCGAGTGAATGTAAGATTTGGGGGATTTCTTAGTGTATTTATCGTATATTAAAAGCTTTGCTCCTGCATGTACTTTACATTAAATTACTGTATAATATATCTCGTTGTTGTGATGCATTGTATTACGTGTGTGGAAATATATTGATTATTAGACCAAAGGCTTGCAAAGTAACGATATATTACAGCCGACTCAATACTCGACATAGTATACATAACTCTGAGTTTTGGCTTCTTTGAAGGCGTAAATTTATTCATATCCTTTGTTTTCAATTGAAGGCATCACTGATCACGAGAGCTTATGTTTTATAAACACTGCCTGTATGTGATCTGATTTTTTATACAATTCTATTTCTGGTATATACATGATTTAGTGGAAAGAACTGTAAAATTTGCGGCATTTTAATAGGTCGTGAAATGAGAAGCCTTCGACTATAGTTCTTATATTGTATAGTGTGGTTGAATCAAATATATATATATATATACTTAGGCAGTTATCGTCTCAACCGCGTTTCAACCCTAGGTGGGCAATATAAAGAGGTCAAATTATTATGACTCTACTGCTAGTAAAGTATATGACAAACATTGATTTTCAAAACTTATTTTCTAGCGCGAAATATGAGTTCATACCTTCGTGGTCATAGCAATATAATATCAGTGAAAATATTTACATAATTTGTAATATGAAGCTATAAAAGCATCGCAACTACTTGTGATGAAACATTCAAATTTCTATCACAAATAAAATGTGATTGGAACTATATAATATATATTTATATAAGGTTAGCGCAAAAGATCGATGTCCGTGCGCGCGTATGCGGAACAGAAGGACAAATTGGCAACAAGTGCTATCTGCGCTATTAAACATATCAATTGCATGAAACGGCGGTATACTCGCATTTCGTCACACGAACTAAGAGTCTTTTTGTTTTGTTTGTATTTTGCACTTGCGTGCGTAATAACGTTTGGTCAAGTGCCAGGGCACGTATAAGCTTACATCTAAGACAGATTAAGCTTTACAGCTTACACCTAAATCTACACGCCTGACACGCATAGTCATAATTCTAAATATCATTTACATTTTCAAACCAAATGTGAAAGCAAAACCTAATACAGCTGCTTAATCTGTCTTATCTTGTGTTCTTTGTCACCGCTAACCGCTTGCAAACCGCGACGTTTGCGCTTTTAGTTCAAATTTCAAAAGTCACTCGAAATCATATAAATAGCCTATTTTATATATTTGTTTAGACTAACCATTGTAGCTACGGGGGTCTACACATTACACTACCAATGTTTAATACAAAACAAAACTGTCCGACCATAGAAAATATTTTTGAAACATAATTTAAGAAAATGTATTCGTCTTTACAGGTTTTGTTGACATACTTTTAATATGTTATGCTCACCGCAATAAATGTGAATATTAATAATAGTACATTTTCCTATATTTTTTAAAATTGGGTCAATTTGGTTCGTGACCCCTTTTGAATCTACCCTAACAAAGCACACAACACAAGAGACAATTTGAATGAGCGCTTTTTATTGCTTTGTCTATCTTGTTTACAGATTCAAGCTGAGAGCAGCTTTAGAAATATTAAAGTTATTACAGTTTCTTTAAATAGAATAATTTTTGAATTCTGGGCGAATCTATGACTATATTAACGTAATCCAGAAACGAAATAATTTGAATAGTTTGGAATTCAACGAAGCTTTAATCTATAATTGAAAAATGATTTTGTAATGATCGCATTCTTGAGACGCCGACATTTGAATATTGTATCTGGGCAACTGAAATTAATTTTAATGGCTGTAATCGTCTAGGATTTTGTTGTCTAGTTTATGTTTAACTTCTAAATCTCTGCCAGGAAACATGTGACTGTACCATTATGATGTCAACAATTGCGAAATGTGGACTCTGTCGTTCATATAGGTAGTCTTTTACTGCCCATAGCATCGCCGTGTTCAAGTGGGCGCCAGTCAAACTCATGGATTATTCGTCAAGTATTGCACGCACATTTGCATAATTTTGTATTCTTCGGCCTTTTACGGTCTTGGCATAACTGGTCTTCGTATTTATATACTAGACACAAAGCAACTTGAAGCAGCTATACTATATTGGTACATAGAGATTTACCAAGTCCATCAAGATTTTTAAGAAGTTTAGATTCACGCAAAATTGGCAACATACGTGATATACTTTTAAATGATGGAAATTTCAAAGTGTGTGTTCAAACAAAAAGACGATATTCATCTCTCAAATGGCTCGAGATTAATGACGGTAGAATTCTCACATCACTCATGTGAGGACGAAGTAAATGGACATCATTACATCACTCAGAAGTCGGTGCCTATTCAGCGTCCGAAATTTGGCCCATTTACTTTAACTCTAATCCCTAAGGAGGTATATAGTCTATACATAAGTTGTATGGGAAGTAAAAGTCTACTTCATTTTGAACTTCATCACGTAACATTAAACTGTTTCGATTGCCAAGCGGAAACCGTGTGATTATAAGCGAATATTTGTTTTTTCCGAGTGACTCTCATGAATGATTTATCTGAGGCGCCAAGAGTATATATCACTCTTTTAAGTATTTATCATCTCATTTTTCTCGGGGAATAAAATGTGGTTCCATTAAGTAAATATTGCATAATATTGTTTGAAATATTCCTTTCAAATCTAATATCCATGCAATACGCATGCCCATTCGTGTTTAGTCTGTGTTTAATTATTAGTTAAAATTTAACGATATCAGTTTTGACACGTATTATTTTTGTGATAAAATTTTATTTGCTAAAATGCACCACTTGCAAAGCGATTTTATTTGATAATGTAGTGCATTTATTGTAAAAAGATTGTGTGCAAATTTACTGTAATATTTTAAATAATCTGTAGTACGGTGTTTAGAATTGAAAAGATTAGTGAAATTCTTGGTCAGGGCTCCATGCAATTCTAGCAAATGCGATCTACGCTTGTCATTTTGCAACGTCAGCATGCTATTGAGATATTGTTATTGTTATATATTATTGTTTGTACAATAATAATTTGATGTTTTTTAACTACATTTATTGAAAACTACATTGGCAGCCTTATCTTGAATTGCTTTGTGGTTTTGATGATAAGCGCCCCCATTTTACCGAATTAGGTTACAATATAGTCTTTACAATGGCAAGATAATTGTCTATAAGTTTCTTTCTCTATGCTGTTAAATTTGCTTGTGCATTTAATGCTGCTAACAGGTGGCAACAGGTAATAAACGCTATGTCTGTCCGGGGAAGATCTCGTGGACGGCGATCTTAGTTGTCAGCTAAAATTAAAGCCATTTATCAGCTGTCAGTTAAGATATTTCTTAGTTGTCAATCAAAAATACAGACAAATGTCAGTTGTGACTTATCACAATTCAAACCCATACAAAATGTACAATATAAACGCTAGTTCAATTTGACGTAGCCCAAAAGTAATTAAGTGCCCAATATTAATTTTTTCTGTCGTTTAATCAGGAACAACAAGCAAAGCTTGCCAATTTGAAATACGTTCTTCAAGAAACGACCGATGCAAGCAACGATCTTCTCGAACAGACGCCTGTGGACGACAATGCAAATACGGAGATCCCCGAACAGGTGACGAAAGTCAACGATCTTTACGCGGAAGTTAACGATCTCCTCGATGGAGCATTGACAGCCGAGAAAGAAAATTTAGCAAAACATGGAGAGTTTGAAACTCTGTTGGATAGCTTTGCAGACAAGGTGGATTCCTTGGAAAAACGCTTGGAGGATGTCAAACCTTTGTCGACGAAACTACCAGAGCTTAAAGCTGAGCAAGAAGAACTTACGGTTAGTCCAGACTTCGTTATTGTATATTGAGATCTGCCTGTCACGACACGAGTACGATTTCTGCAATATGTAGTTTTCAGATTTGCCTCGGTCGCATGTGAGAAGCGTGCTTCCAGTTTGACTCGAAACGTCGAATTTCTCCTTGTTTTCTTCGGGTCCAAACTACTTGGAAAAGACAAAAACAAACAATTGGAACAAGTAGTAAAACTTAACGTTTTTGCTGCCTTTAGATAATTCAAGAAGAAGTTCTCCAACAAGAAGCATCATGTGATCAACTGCTTGAGGTGAGTGAGAAGATGGCGGAGGAAAGCCCTGGGGACGAAACTGAAGCGATGAAACAGAAAGTACAAGATACGACGAAGAGGTGGCGAGTTCTACTGCAAGTTATCACGAGACGTGTTGAGATTATTGAAGAAGTTGTGACTCTGAGCGAACAATTTGAGGAGGAAATTGAGATTGTTGTCACGTTCATTACCATCACAGTGAAGACGTTGCGTGATCTGAGGCCTGTCTCGTACGACCAGGAACCCATTGAGAAGGAACAGGAAAAATTGAAGGTAGGATCAGTTGGACCCATGTTTATTGCACACTGATGAGCCGTCTGGAAGAAGTTTGGGCAAAGAAGGGGTAGTTGCTGAATGGAAAACGGGTTCAAGGAATTTTAAAATGACATCATTCTTTTTTAACATATTTTTATTTCTCGTTCTAGGCTCTTGAAGCTGAAATTGCAGAGAAACAACCAATTCAGGAATCAGTGACTGCTACCTCGGCTAAACTCGCTGAACTTTGTGAAGCTGATGTTGATGAAATGATGGCTAGAGTGGATGAAATGAATAAAAACTGGGAAGAAATGAATGGAGAGAAAGTAAACAAGGATGAAGAACTACAAAAGACGATGAATGATCTCTCAGAATACGAGAAACAAGCCAATGCTGTTCAAGAAAAGATAAACAAGACTGAGAAAGCTTTGCCCACTGAAAGTGCGCTTGTTTTAGACCTACCTCAAATGCGAAACAATCTTGCGAATATCAAAAACGCTGCAGAGCAATTAGAAGCTGTGAAACCTCAACTGGACAGCACTGTGGCGTATGGAAATGAGTTAGTAACACAAGACCCTGAGATTGATGGATCAAATGTGAAAAGGCGGAATGAAGAGCTGGCCGAATTGTACAACAATGTTGACGAGAAAGTTCAGGAAGAAGCGAAGAAGATGCAAGATTTAGTAGATAAAATGGAACAATACTCCAAGTCTTCGAAAGAGCTGAGGAAAGATCTGGCTCACATTCACGATGAGGTCGAGGCAAATAAACCTGGTCAGTTGGACATGGAGAGTCTGAAAGAAAAAGATGACAATGTTAAGGTCGGTCATCGTTTTGTATTAGTGAGGTTCAGATTTGTCTTCCACTACCTCTCAGTTATGATATTTTCTACATGGCTTTCTGACCCTCTCTATTTTGACATTTTCTTCTACTGTGTATAGATCGTATATTGTTCTCCTAAACTCCTTACCTTAACGTTTCTTTCTTTGTTTTGATGTTCATATGCTTTTGTCATCTGCAATTTTTATGCAGATATTTTGCAGATATGTTGACAGATAATCAGCATATCTGCAACTTTTATGCAGATATTGTAGACCTTGTTGCAGTTATGCCTTGTGTTTATGCTTATATTGCGTCGTAGTGAGGACAGTACATAATAAATCAATACGTTTGATCCCTCTTAAGCTCATGCTCATGCTTGAGTAGTAGTGTGGAGCAGGCTTTAGAAACGAATAAAATATTTTCTCGCTTCAGAAACTGAAAGAACATGTCAACGACACGGCGCAGTTACATGACGCCTTCAATAAAGACGGACAACAATTAATCGGAGCAGGCCTGGGAAGTGATCCCGCCTTGATGAAAGAAATATCAACAGTCAGCAAAGAGTATCATGACGTCACTGGAAGTGTAGATACACTGCAGGCTCAACTTGACGACGTCGTGGCGGAAGTGGCGAAGTTCGAAGCGGAACATGACGTCATTGATAAAGATTTGAAATCGTTGGAAGAGAAAGCTGAGGGAATTAATGCCAAGGCAGTCGGTGGTGAACCTGACGAGATTAATAAACAGTTGGAAGAAGTGAAGGTAAGATGAAACACAATTTTTCTTCAAACGACATTTGATATTCAATATGAGCCGTGTCGTGGTTTGTGCCTGAACAAATCGAAAAAGTTAAAACTTCTTCGTCGTTACGAACGACGGCTCTTCGTTAAGAGGTTACTGCGTAGCTCAGAACATCAACGTAGTCTTCTTGAGCGGTTCATAATCTCTCAACTAGTCGCAAATTTAGAAGTTAGTTACCGACGTGGTTACCTCTCGATTAGAGATGTCTCTCATTAACACCTAGAACCCTGCTTCACACCGAAGTAGGCCTTAGTTTATGGTTTAACTTATGATTGATTTGAATAATAATTTCTAGGCTTGTCAAAATGATGTCGCCAAAATTCAAGAAAGCATCCAGTCTTTACAGGACTTAAAATACGGCCTTACTGCGAGATACCGGGATTCTGATGCTACTCCGCTGGACAAAATCATCGAGGACCTAAACCACCGTCTGATGGCGATCAGCCACAGTCTGGTGGAGAGACAATCTAAGTTAGATCAAGCTCTGCTTCAATCCGGGAAATTCAAGGAGACTGCAGATTCGCTTCTTGATTGGTTGTCTGAAACACGTGACTTGTTTGAATCCCAAGGACCTGTGTCTGCTGCTGACCCGAATCTCTTGAAGGCTCAAATGAAAGAGAATCAGGTATGAATAGGATTTAATGTTCTTTGGGAGCAGATTTTTTTGTATGTTACGTAACACGCGCTCAAAACTAATGCGTATAATATACCACTTGAGGTTATGACTAAATTCAAAATTTTTATTTTTCGATACGTTTCTCAATTGGCAAACAAACTTAAAAAGTATGTTTAGTGCTTTATCTGTAAAATAATGCTAAAATGAAGAGATTTTAGATGATACGCCAAAGAGAAAATGATGTCTGAAGTTCAGTAAGTTTTGCTTATATGACTGTAAATATGGGGTCAATTTTAAAGCAACATCGATAATTGTATTTTAATTGACAATTTTTAACTATTATTTTATGTTTCTCAACCGGCAGATGCATTTAAAAAGGTAGCTAACTGTATAAACTAGAGAATAAAGCTAAAGCAAAGTAATTTTGAGAGGAACGCCAAAAAGATTTTTAGGTTTTGAACACTTTTAATTGTAAATACGTGACATTGAAAAAAATTGCCTCTTAAGACTACATATACACTATACTGGATAGATTTCCGTAGCGGCGCGAAAAAGCACCTATCCGATACGGAATGTACAACTTTCAGAAGCTGAACGAGACAACATCTCTCCGTTGCAATAATTCCTCTGAAAATAGCGTTCCTGAAAGGTTCGGATAGGTATTTTTTTCACGTCGCTACCGAAACCTATCCGGTACAGTGTCAACACTATTTCTGCTCGAATATTCATCTTATTTTTTTCGCTTTCTTTCAGTTACTTGTGCGTATGATCAAAGAACGTGAAAGCACTCTGAAGTCAGTACAAGCGACCGCTGATGAGCTCCTAAAGACTGCAGAGCCGGACAAGAAACAGGAAATCGAAGAACAAATGGCCGACATTAACAGCCAATGGGAAGAGCTGACAGGTCTTGTTGGAAAACGTGGCGACCAATTACAAGAGGTCTTAGAAATCTCTCAAAAATTCTCAAATCTCAACAAAGAACTCACCGATTCTCTTAGAAAAATTGACAAGAAAGCCAAAGCTGAGAAATTCTCGGAGGTTAAAGCGAAACCAGAAGAAATTAAAGAACAAATTGACGAATTTGGGGAGATAGTTGAGGAGTTCAATGCCTGTGAACCAAAGTTGGTGGAATTAGAGGCCCTGAGCGAGACACTGATAGGCTATGCGACAGAAGAGGATGCTGGGATCATTGAGGAGAAAGTGGAGGATGTAAAAGAGCGATATTGGAATGTTGAGAAGCGAGTGAAGAATATCGAAGGGAAGCAGAACGAGGCTTTGAAACTGGCTGAGAAATTTAATGCGGAGAAAGTTTTGTTTGAAGAATGGTTTGAGGTGACGGAGACCGCTATGGATGAAGTGGATGGAAGTGAGGATAACGAAGTTAAACAACAGAAACTGAAGGTACAGTTCATTCTCCAGAATTTGTCTTGTTAGGATATTGTGCTACGGTCATTGAATTCCTGCAATTTCAGTTGTCTTAAAGTTTTGTAATTTCTAAGTCTTGAAGGATTGATAAGAAATGTTTGAGGGAACTGACTTAGTGTTAAACAGTGAATCAGTTCCTTCAAATATGTTTTATAAATCCTTCAAAACTTAGAATTTACCTATGCGAAATTCCTACTGTGATCACAGACTTTGATACTGGTAAACCAGCCATAATTTCACCTCAAGTCATATAAGAAACACGTCCAGTTTGACTCTACCAAAAAATCCAGTTTATCATGGTACCCTCTTATGCAATAATTTTCTCAACTTGTTCTCGTTCAGGCTGTACAACAGTCAGTACAAAACAAGGAACCGGACTTGACGAAATTCCAGGTCATTGGTTCTAAACTCTCCAAGACGGTCTCAGACGAATACATTGTAATTATTGAAGAGATAGTGCAAATCATTGAAATTCGTTGGAAGAAATTGAAATCAAGAGTCGAGATTGTCGCGAAAGATCTCTTCACTGGCAAAGAGGAACTGGGGAAATTCAAAACCAACATGGACAGTGTTGAAGAATGGTTAGCTGCCACTGAAACCAAACTGTCAAATCTTGAAGCACCTTCATCTAAACCCGATAAAGTTAAGAAACAGATTAAAGAATTAACTGTAAGTGACTTATTCACATTTTCAAGTTTTGTTTATTCCATTGCGATATGGTGTTGGCTGTTAAAATTTCGTCTCTGTCGCATGTGAGAAGAGTGCTTCTAGTTTGACTTTTACCAAACACCACAGGTTTTTTTAAGGTACTCCCGTTTCATTCTGTAGTAACACTGGACTAGCTGCGCTTTACTGAACCTCATTTATGCTTCTTATTTCAGCCAATTACCAACGACATTGCAGTGCATGCTGGTACGGTTAATCAAGTTCTGGACAGCGGTCAGACACTCCTGATAGCACTGGGTGAAGACGAAGGAGCTGACGTGAAGGCGAAACTGGACCACATCAGAACGAGGTTCGCGAACATCAACGATCAAGCTTCAACGAGACAGGCGCAGTTGGTAGAACTGTTATTGCTGACTCAGCAATATTTACATATCGTGCACGAGGTGTCCACGAGACTGCGACGAGCCGAGGAGAACGTGGCGAAATTGGAGGATGATAAGGGACATGCGGCTGAAGTGGAACAGGAAAGGATTAAGGTGAGTATTTGGAGTTATTTAATTATTTTAATTATTTTAAGATCTTGGGGAGAGGTCCGACCAAGGATTGAACCCAGCTTGAAAGGCAAGCGTGATGACCACGACAACACAAAAGCTGATTAAACACCTTCACTTCTTTATTTCAGGCGATTCAAGAAAGTATCACCGTGCTGGCGCCATTAATGTCAAACTACGCAGACACACATAACGACCTTGCCAAACACTGCAGCGCTGACGAAGTAGCCGAAGCCGCGAAGGAACTGGAACGAAGTAAGGAAAGATACCAGGCCCTTAGAGCTGAGATTGAGAAGCGCGGAATACAAGTTGGAATGACGTTACAACAAGAGGAACAGCTGCAGATCATGCTGGAGGAATTGATATTACATCTGGAGAAACGCAAGGAAGAACTACATAACTTGGAACCCGTTGGAATACACAGTGATGTTGTCCGGGAACAATTACACGCACACGAGGTTAGTAGAGGTTTTAATTTTTTTGTGTTTGTGGATTGCAAATACACGATGTCAGTACATGTATGTTGCTCCAACAGTTAGTGAATGTACCTTTCATTTCTTCGACTGAAGTGGCTGGGTCCATGGGATGTTTCTTACTGGACTTTGAAGGAGGACAGTTTAGAACTGATAGAGCTATCCAGTATAAATAAAGTTAGTTTAGTTTAGGTTTCCTCCTGTAGTAACAGTGGAACAATAAGAGACGATCCTTACTGGATTCAAGAGACAACAGTTTAGAACTGATAGAGCTATCCACTGTAAATAAAGTTAGTTTAGTGAAAATGCTGTCGTGAAAAGCGATATGGCCTACTATGAATGTATTTACAGCCCTACCTTACGTTTACCAACACAATTTACCTATGCTCTATTTGTTGCTTATTTAGGATTTGGCCAATGGTGTCAAAGAAGACCAAATGTTAGTGGACGAGACTGACACTCAGGTCAACATCGCTGTGACAGCCAACCCAGGCACAAGTACCGCAGAACTGATGACGGAAAAAATGACGCGAGTGAAAGGCCTTTATATTGAGATTGAAGCATTGAGCAGCGATCGTCATCTGGCATTGGACAGTGTCTTGGAGGCATGTGACAAGTTCTGGGACGGTGTGGAACAACTGAGGATATCATTGAAGGTCGTTCAGGGACATTTAGATACACATGATCCTCCTGCCGCTGAACTTCACCATATCGAGGAACAAGTACACGAACATGAGGTAAGCACTGATCTGGCAAGAAAACTGGATTGAGTATGTATGCGTTGAATGCTTGCTGCGCTGAATACTTCCCCTACTGTGTAAAATATGCTAGTATTGTCGTAAAATATGCTAATATTTCAGCATTTCCGGTGGTATATGAATGAATTGCCCTTTATTATTGTGATCAGTGTTTGCATATCGAATATCTTCAGAAATGAAGACACTTACAATGGTTTCTATTTTAGGAACTTTGCAAAGATCTCAACAGCCACGAAGACCAAATCAATGCGATATGCAATGCTAGTCCAGTGCTGGTAGCAAATTGCGGTCAGGGTGATAAACTGGTTGTGCAAAATGCAGTAACAGAAATCAGCGATCTCTGGGAGAAAACGGAGAATGCATGCAAGGCGCGTAAGAATGACCTTGCAGAAGTGTTTAAACTGGCAGAACAGTTTGAGAAATCTCACATTGCTGTCTGTGAATGGCTCGAGGTGACTGAAACGAAATTGGAAAAAGTTCCGTCTGTTGGATCTGATGTGAAAGCTGTTAAGAAACAACTTGATGCTCAAAGGGTATGCTACAGTGCTGTCTTTGGTAGAATGATTTGAAACTCAGTATAAAGCCTGGTTTACACTATCAAAGTTTCTGTGATCACAGTAGGAATTTTGCATTGGTAAATTCTACGTTTTGAATGATTTGTAAGAATGTTTTGAGGGAAATGACTCATTGTTTAACACTTAGTTCCCCCAAACATTTACCTATGCAAAATTCCTACTGTGATCACAGAAACTTTGATAGTGTAAACAAGCTAAGCCTGCTACTGTAGATTTACTTAGGCTGTGTAGCTTCCCTTAGCACGTATATCATGCGCCTCTGATGAATTGAGAGACCACACCTTGTGTAATTAACATTGAATATAAACACTTATCAACTATAGCACTGTATTTCATTATTTCTCAGGAATTACAACGTGAAATACCGGAACAACAAGTACATGTGACAACTGCAAACCAACACGGGCAAGCATTGATGGAGAAATGTCGACCCGACGATGTACCTGTAGTACAAGCACAGGTGAAAGAAATGAATGATAGATGGAAAGCACTTCGTATGATCGTCATGGAAAGACAACAGAAACTCGAGGAAGCGTTGCTTGCTTTGGGACAGTTCCAGTTGGCCTTGGAAGAACTCCTGGCCTGGATCAATCACACAAATCAATCATTAGACAAAGAACTGCAACAGAAACCTAACTGTGATGTGAGATCCATTGAAGTGGAAATGTCGAAACATAACGTTAGTTGATGTAGTCTTGCTATTTTGATATTTGTGTTTTTGGACAGACTACAGTCCTTACTGGACCTCTAGAGAGAACAGTTTAGAACTGATAGATAGCTAGTATCCAGTACAAATAAAGTTAGTTTAGTTTAGGTTTCCCCCTGTAGAAACACTGATCAATAAGAGATGACTCTTACTGGACCTCTAGGAAGAACAGTTTAGAACTGACAGAACTATCCAATTCATTTCATCTGTTGTTTTACTTGGTTTGTGTAATATGTTGGTTGTATAATATCCTGCTCTATGAATGCTCAATCCAATCTACATTCCACTAATTTAGATCATCCAAAATGACATCAGTGCGCATAAGCCAACGATGCAAAGCATCACGAACGCCGCGAACAAACTTCTTGAGTCAGGCACGACCAAGATGGACACCGCTGTTCTCAAAAATAAACTGGATGATCTTCAAAATGGTTGGCAGGAACTCTTGGCTAAGTCCGCACAACGTGAACAAGATCTTACTGGTTCCCTAAAGATAGCACGTGACTTCATGAGCGAAGTCCGGGAAATGTTAGGATGGTTGAAGGAAGCCAGAGAATTCTTGAAACAACGAAGACCTGTGGGAGGATTCCCGGAAACCTGTGAGAAACAAATTGAAAAACACAAGGTAAATCTGGATAACATTTTAGTAGCAACAATGAAACTATAAAGGATAGCTCTTACTGGACACCTTAAACTGATAAAAGCTACCCTATTTAGTTACGTTTCCTTCTGCAGTAACACTGGGCCAATATGGCCTTTGCTGAACAGATTTAGAAGCTGTCTAGCATAATAAAGTTAATTTTCCTTCTCCAGTAACGATGGACCAATATGGCCTTTGTTGAACAGATTTAGAAGCTGTCTAGCATAATAAAGTTAGTTAAGTTTCCTTCTGCAGTAACACTGGACCAATATGGCTTTTGCTGAACAGATTTAGAAGCTGTCTAGCATAATATTAATAAAGTTAGTTAAGTTTCCTTCTGCAGTAACACTGAACCAATATGTCCTTACTGGACCTCTTGAAAGTTTTAATTGTATAACTCTCCACTATAAATAAAGTTAGTATAATGCTAAAACATTTCATTGTCGCCTCAGGAGTTTGCGAAGCAAGTGGAATCTCGCGCTGCCAAGTATGAGCACATCATGAAAACGAGCAGTGAACTCCTGGAAACTAGCGATCCAGCTGTCGCCAACACATTACGTAATATGCAGAGCGAGGTGAAAAGGTCCTGGGAAGAGATTACGTCAAAGACGGAGGACGAAGGAAAGAAACTGGATCATGCGCTGGAGAAGGCGACCAAGTTGAATGATGGGTCTGTATATATGGTCACGTGGTTGACGGAGATTAAGGAAGAACGGGTCATATTTGAAATTATCAGTGTCGTGTTTGAGAAGGTTGAGGAACAAAAGAATAAATATAAGGTTTGCTTGTACTATATGTTATCATACTGTTATACCATACCATACCATATGTTATCATACTGTTGTACCATACCATACCATACCATACCATACCATACCGTACCATACCGTACCATACCGTACCATACCATACCATACCATACCATACCATACCATACCATGTCATACCATGTCATACCATACCATATGTTATCATACTGTTGTACCATACCATACCATACCATACCGTACCGTACCATACCATACCATACCATACCATACCATACCATGTCATACCATGTCATACCATACCATATGTTATCATACTGTTGTACCATACCATACCATACCGTACCGTACCGTACCATACCATACCATACCATACCATACCATACCATACCATACCATGTCATACCATACCATATGTTATCATACTGTTGTACCGTACCATACCATACCATACCGTACCGTACCGTACCATACCATACCATACCATACCATACCATACCATACCATGTCATACCATACCATATGTTATCATACTGTTGTACCATACCATACCATACCATACCGTACCGTACCATACCACACCATACCATACCATACCATACCATACCATACCATACCATGTCATACCATACCATATGTTATCATACTGTTGTACCATACCATACCATACCATACCGTACCGTACCATACCACACCATACCATACCATACCATACCATACCATACCATACCATGTCATACCATACCATATGTTATCATACTGTTGTACCATACCATACCATACCATACCGTACCGTACCATACCACACCATACCATACCATACCATACCATACCATACCATACCATGTCATACCATACCATATGTTATCATACTGTTGTACCATACCATACCATACCATACCGTACC